CCACCGAGAGCGATGGTTAGCGTAGCTGGACTGGTTGTACAAGTTGGCGGTTCAACGATCGAAGCGTGGATTTTTAAGGGCGAAAAAATCCTTCGTCGCCTTCCTTCGGAGGGGAGTAAGCGGCTGTCCCTGTTGTAGATTTACTTCATGTAAAGATCCTCAGCCCTAAATGACGCCTCTGAGCTAATTCAATGCTGTTTCTCGCCAGAAATATCCTTTCTCTAGTTGGTGAAAGGAGCGTGCGCATTTGCGTGGTCGACGGAAGAGGCGGGCTGATGGCCGAGTCTCGCAGCGTAAAATAAGGCAATTCAATCAATCGCTAAGCTCTCAATCGGTCTTCCACCATGGATGGTGCGGTACATGTTAGTGTGTGTGTGTGTGTGTGTGTAAGTAAGTAAGAGGTGAGGATGGGAAAAGAAAGAGGAAGGCAAGATCACGCGAATTTCGAGGCCCGTTTGTTAGAATACTACTCCGGCATTCGCGTGGTGTTGATCGGAGAAACTACGGAAAACTACCGATCAGATCACCTTTCGCTAGAACTCTCCTCCGGACTGCGACTGAATTCGACCTAGCTGACAAGCTACAGTGGAAAATCCTGCCACCGTCGGGAGTCGAACCTACGACCTCCCGCAATTGAGATACCAAGCATTGAATCAACTCCAACTGTGGTCCAGCCCCGCGCAGGTGGAGAGTCCAGCCGTGCGGGAAACAGCAAACTTCGCGTAAAACGCGAGCCGTTCGAAATTCGATTTACAACAGACGGGGATCTGTGGGTGTTATCTCCGCGATAAGCGTTGCATATGCAACCCGCTCAACCCCGCCCGTGCGCTGGGCTTAAATTGTTTGTGAAACACGCCAATTGAATCTGTTTTCCCGTTTGCATCGCCAGAATATTCAGAGACTATTGTCGAGAATCACGCTCCATCGCATTCCGTTTCTGCAGTTGTTTTCATCACCAAAAGGGGAACTCAATGAAGGTGAAATATTTAATTTTCGGACTCTGACAATGCGGAGATATTTTATTGACAAAGTATTGTTTCCTAGTAACAACTTGCTTTGTCATGAAGGGAAGCAAACAAATTTAAGCTTGCGTTTTATTTGTTGATTTGTATTTCAATGAAAGAGGGACAGCGGGATATTCTGTGAATGCACAGCGAGGTGAATGTGCTGTTCACTCTGCGGTAGTCAGAAACATTCATCGTCACTGTGTGTTTGTGCTAAATTTTATTGCCTTACAGTATTGAAAAAGGAGAACTTTGTTTAGACAGATATTTCTTTATTGTATTTTTTCTGCGTTACTGTTTCAGTTAAGGTTAATTAGCACATTTTATTAAATTCTACGCAAATATTTAACGGTATAATTACCTCATACATTTTGTTAATATTCAGTGTTCCCTTGGCACATTAAATTCCTTGAAATAAACTTCCAAGAAATGTTTCATTGAGGGAGTTCACAGACGAAAGGAAGTTCTCGTTTGCAGAGAACATCACTCAGGCCATTGACTTTATGAAGCGCCCCGCAGTTCTCTCTTCCAACTTGACTTGGTTCTCCTGATGCCCAGACGTTATACCCAGAGATCGACAAGGGTTCACCTGCGCAAATGATTGTAGAATGTATAATACATTTAAAAGACAGTCATAAATATAAATAATGTATCGGTTCCATAATATACCTAAGACTGTTATGTAGGTTCCGTCAGCAGTCACGTCAAGAAAACCAACGTGAAAGTAATTGATACCACTGTAGCTGTTCATGAACGTTTGAATCATTGTAGCTTCTGCCTGAAAGAGAAATATATTCATGTTTGTTAAGTTTTACATTCTCGTATATTTCCTATAGTAAACGTATATAATACTGCAAGAAATCATATCGATATTTTGACAAAAACCCATTTTTTGGGATATTGATACAAATATGTTCTTTTTTCTCTTATTCATAGTATGTAACTTTCACTTATACGTACGTATGTACTGTCAACATACATGTCTCAGGAGCTCTAAGAGGATTTTCGCCAAAATGAACAAACGGGCTATATGTTCTTAATTTTTCCTCTAGTAGAACAAATGGCGTGAATAAAATAGCAAGTTACCTGATCCTGAATTTGAATATTTTGTTGTTTCAAAGTTACATCCTAATAATAATAACAATTACCTCATTCAATATACCGTACAAAATATGCGTCAATTTTAATGTTCAAAAAATTATGAGTAGAAATAATATGTACTTAATATCCTAGATAAAAGTTTAAATATGCAATATTAATTTTAAAAACAATAAAACATGCATTATGCATGAATTTCCCAAAAAATCTACCAAAACATGCCTTACCAAAATGCGTTAATCGTGACACAGATATTTACGAAGTTGCAAGTCTGTAGGAAACTTAACTAAAACATGTAATTCCCTAGAAATACTGTCTCTATGCGAAATCACCGGTCCATCACGTTCATTCATTCCTTTCTTCCAGATATGACCAAAATCTTTGACTATTGCGTCCTAAAGTGCATGTGTACATTGAATTTAATGAGCGTTCATTGTAATTACTTCAATGAACATTTCATTAAAATAATTCAGAAGTTTCTAACAATGTACGTTGGCGTGTGTAAGGAAACATGTTTGTGTGTGCAAGGAGGAGGAAGAAAAATATTACACAGAACCCTTTGGCTCGTTTGTTAGGGCAATACTCCGGCATTCGCCTGGAATCAAGAGAAATCTACCTCTCAGAGAAGTCGGCCGTTAACTTCCCTTCCAGACAACGGCTGAACTCGATCCGTCTATCGCAATGGTGGAAAATGAATTTTCATCATTACTGCCGGCTGCGCTATGCTGCCCTTGTGGAGCCGAAAGTGAGCGAGAGGCATAGTGGAGCATGGTGGGAGACGCTGACATGCAATTGATTTATTAACTATTATCTGTGTCAATTGTTAAGTTTGTTAATCCAGTAAGTTTAGTTCCTGCCTTTTCCTAGGGACGACTTTCGCTTTTGGAGGGTGAGATTCGGCGCCAACCTACGCATGGCTAGAAGGGTTTTTTTTACAAGAACCGCTCATTTTAATATAGAAAGTCTAACGCTCATGCGCACAAGCTGAGCGGCGTTGCCAAAGTTCCCGCGCTCCCGGACAAAAGAAAAACGGAAAGTCAGTCTACCGGTGGATGTCGAACGAAGCAGAGGCCGTGTGCTCTCGCCATTCTTTGCAGAGAATAGTTGTCGTAACCAGCAATACTGTCAAACGAGTCAAAATCAACAAACATGCATACTTTAAAGGTGTTATTTTGTGGTGAAAGTTACGACCAAAATCAAGCCAATGGGGAATTTTGTCAACGGTTGTGGCACCAAAGGATCGAACAACGGATTCTACCTGGAAGTCGGCACATTGGTTCTGTGTCTAAATTTAAGCACTAGTAGCACCAAAATTTAATTAAGGCTAGCATTTGCACTCAATGTTATTCATGTACAGATTAGTTTTATTGATTATGTAATAAAAAATGTTCACAATCCTTCACAACACATGTTCATACATTAATTGTAATCATTCATTTCACTTACGGTCATTATCTTCCATACAAATTTGATAGTTCTGAAGGGTAAAGGGAGCTACCAGAAATTCAAAATTACCATTGCACTTCAGAATATATCAGTTTTCTTTCAATCAAATGTAACATACCAGCGGGGTACCGCCCCAGTCAGGACAAACTCTAAAGCTCCAGACTGGCCACCAGTCTTGTGTGGACGGGTAGTCCATTCTTGTGTGTAAGGGGTGGGGATAGCTCAAGGATGAGGAAGGAAAGATGGCGTGTGGTCCGTGTTCCGTTTGTTAGGCATTTAGGTGTAGTGGTGCGTTATCGTTGGCATTTCTAATAAAATAATTATAAACGTCATTGCCAACAATATTATTTATTTATAAAGCAGCTTTCGATCGCTTAGCCATCGAAAGCCATCGAAAGCTGCTCTTGTAATAAATACTGTTCATGGCAATGGCAACGTTTATAATTATTTCATTTGTTAGGCATTGTTAGGAATAGTGCCTGACCTCAGATTTGATGACGACGAGGTCCCCGCCCTCGCGCTCGCACGCCGCCTTGGCGCCGAACCACGTGAGCCACTCCCAGTGCACCTTGTACAAGCCCAGCCCGGCCGCCGTCAGGTTCCTGTAGCCGGGGGGCAAGACCCTCGAGGGCGCGCCGGGGCAGCTGACCTCCGCGCACACCGGGCACGCCGGGCACTCCTCGGAGCACTGGGAAGCGCGACGCACCGCCCGCGACGCGTCGCCGTTCGGCGCCCCTGGGAGGCGCCACACGATTCACTCATCCGTCACTCGATGCTACTGAGAGGGTATAAACGATTCGCTCATCCGCCACTCGATGCTACTGAGAGGGTATAAACGATTCGCTCATCCGTCACTCGATGCTACTGAGAGGGTATAAACGATTCACTCATCCGTCACTCGATGCTACTGAGAGGGTATAAACGATTCGCTCATGTATCACTCAATGATCCTCAGAGGCACAAAAGGACTCATTCATCAGTCAACGCTTCTGGGACGCTATAAACGATTCACTCATCCGTCATTTGATGCTACTGAGTGGGTATAAACGATTCGCTCATCCGTCACTCGATGCTACTGGGAGCCTACAAACGATTCGCTCATCCGTCTCTCAATGCTTCTGGGAGGCTATAAACGATTCGCTCATCCATCACTCAATGCTACTGGGAGGCACCACACGATTCACTCGTCACTCAATGCAACTGGGACTCTATAAAAGATTCGCTCATCCGTACTTAAATACTACTGGGAGGCAATAAACGATTCGCTCATCCGTCACTCAATGTTACAGGGAGACACCACACGATTCACTCACTTGCCACTCAATGCTACTGGGAGGCTATAAACGATTCAATCATCTATCATTCAACGTTCCTTGAGGGCAGAAAACGAATTTAGAATTGAATTCAGTCGGTTCAATCATACGTCATTCAATGCTCATAGGAGACTCAAAACGATTCACTGATCCTTCGCATAATGATACTGGAAGGCAAAGAAAGATTCACTCATCCGCCACGCAATGCTCCTGAAAGACATAATATGAATCGTCTATCTATCACTTGATGCGTCTGGGAAGCACGAAACTATTCACTCGTCCGTCACTTAATAATCCGGGAAGACACAAAACTATTTACTCATCCGTCACTCCATGCGCCTGGAAGGCACAACTCGATTAACTCATTTGTTAGTGAAAGCTCATGTGAGGAATAAAACGTTTTACTCTTCCGTCTCTCAATGCTCCTGGGAAGCACAAAACGATAGCCAACATAGCTTTACAGCAAATAGAACAACGTTGCTTCAAGTAACGTGTTGTTGTCACAGAACGATAACCTTTACGCAATGCCCTGGATACTATTAGCTAGGCCATAACCAGATCTATTTCATCAAGATATTTGAAAATCTAATTTACGAGTACTATCAGAATCCAAATCTGCATTATCAACCTCAACATCCCATTGACTGTAATCAAAATATTATTCTTTGGACTAACTTGTTTCCTTCCAGAATTCTAGCTCTTATGACCTCACAATAAAATAAATATCTCTCAATTTGGAACATTCTTCACACATTATAAAGATTTCTGATGTTGCCCTAACATACACATATGATCCTCCCATTCTGAACTCAATTTATTCAATAATACAATAGAAAGTTGACAATTAAGAACTAAAACATTTTTATCCATTGAAATCACAACTTTATTCAATAATATACCAGCAAATTGGCTCTTCAAAAGTTCTATGGTTACCGTTTCTCTTGTAGTAAATGAAAACTCTATTTGCTCGAATAACATTGACATTTTCACTCGTGTGATAGAATATGAAATTTACACATATACATTTAATTTGTAATAAAAACACTTTGATTGGAATTTAGAAAAATTATTCAAATTAAATACAAATGTATTATCAGGTGATCTCACCAATCCAGAGAGAGATGATCAGCACAGCCACAATCTTGCAAATCCCGAAGACCATCATAACTGAGTTATGACTTAGCTCGTTTATGAAATAACGCACTGTGGCTAACGACGTGTTGATACTTGTGAAGACAGCAAAAGGAAACGACTTTGACCAAGAGTTCGTCACCTCGGTCAAAGCAGAAAAGAAAGAGTTGGGAGTTCATCTTAAGTAGGAAATGAGTCATCAGGACAGGGATGACCAACGTACAGAGAAAAGATGTCAACGAGTAAATCTGAATAAAGGACACGCGTGAACGAATGAAATGGGAAAGAAAAGTAATTAAAGAAATTGGGGCAGCGACAAAATAAATCACACAAGCTACAGAAACACACTCACTATTCGTTAGAATCTTTGGAATAGGAGGCTCTTGTTAGTAGGTATCTCGTTCATATTTATATTTCGTGTAATAATAATGAGACAAAAGTCGTTAATAATGGAAATAGTAAAATTTACGACTAGCGCGGTGGTTTCTATGGCATGTACGACTTATGGCATTAGTGTCCCAAACCATTTAATTTTATTCGTTTAATATGAATATAAAAAACTCTCTACTTCTTCATTTCTCTCTATATATCTTCCTTTCTCTTCACCTCCTTTTCTCGTTTACTTTTTCACGCTTTTCCTTCTTACTCTCTCACTCTTTCCCTCTTATTGCTCTTAGCCTGCCCATTCAGATTACTCCTTCCCTTTCTGAATTTCGGATATTACTGGTAATGTTCAGCTATTTATGTGTGTACGTCGGACAACCAGAAACGTTTGCTTAATGTGATGGAATTTGATGCGAGGAGTAAAACTTTCATTTCAGTATGAACTCAGATTTATCCACATCATTTTGTGGTAAACTCCCAGATGTTAGGCTGAATTTTTCATCACATAACGATTTTGATTGGTTGATTTTTCCAGGTGTGTAACTGCTAAGGTAATTATTCTCATAAGTGTAGTGCATGTTTTTATCGCGGGAGGTGTCAGTAAATTTTCGGAGCTGAATGCGGAGATCCGGCGCAGACCTATTCGTTGGATAGCGGGTTGTCCCACAGAGATCACCCACCAGTGGGGCATCGCCCCAGATGGGGCAAATACGAAGCTCCCGACGTGTGTGGTAGTGTCCTGCTTATAAATGTGTGTAAGGGAATAGGATAAGTCAAGGAGGAGGACAGAAAGGTAGGACACATTGCTTGTTTGTTAGAGTACTGCTCCGGCACTAATTGGTGTCGACCGGAGAAATCACGGACAACTACCGTTCATAGCAGCCGGCTGTTAGAATTCTCCTCCAGACACAGACTGAATTCGCCCTAGTCTTCGAAAGGGAACTAATGCCAAACATCCTGACACCGTCGTGAGTATAAGCCTAGGACCACAGAGGTACAGGACCAGAGAGGCACCGCGGTGTCAATTATTGATTCCCTGAGCCACCTACGCCGGGGAGGAGATAGTGGGAGGTGGAAGGTTTTTTCTTCTGACCGCAGGAGCAAGTTGGGCGCCCCTGGTCTTCACCGCTCCCCCCCCCCGCTGCCACACAGCTGTGAAACACGCGACTCTGGCACGAACTTATCAGCGCTGGCCTCTACGAGCACCCCACGTCGGTGTTGCCACATGAGTGCATTCCGGCTCCATTTGCAGGATTTTAAATGCAGTCAGTGAAGAAAAACGTATTAGATCAGTGAAGAAAAACGGGTAGCGGGAATGACATAACTTTAGGCTGGTTCACCAATAGGGAGTAAAATTAGAGGTTTTTAAAGTCTCCTGGCACTTCTGAAACATCACTCAAAATAATAACTTGCATCAATAGTAGAAAATGTTAAACACTTTCTTGAAAACATACTAGATATATTGATAATTGAAAAGTTGCACTATAGAAAATAGAAACAAAAGGTATAATTTAGTAGCAAAATGCCC